CATCCAGTGGGGATTCACGGTCAACTGAATCGAAGGCTCTTTGTAGGTCAAGGAACAATGCGCTTTTTGTTCGACGATGTGTGTGGGTTAATTCGACGACTTGACGCCGAATGGAGATTTGATCGATGCAACTGCTACTCGGTCAGAATTCTGCTTGCTGTTCTCCAATATTCATCTGCTTTAAAGGTGTCAGGCGGCGAAGTATCAGAGGAGTTAACACGTTTGTGATTATCGGAGAAAAACTTATCCTGCGGTGGTTTGCGCAGTCGTTATGTGATCACGTCTGGAAGATCGGAACGACCAATGATTCACTCCAGGGTAAAGGGATACACCCATCCGACCAGATGCTGCGAAGTAAACTAGTAATCAAGTCGACGAGAGTCATCGCCTAGCTTGAAAGGAATGGAAAGAAGCCCATCTGGTCCCGCAGCCTTCCCTTTCTTTAATGATAGAATACAGTTTTGTACTTCTAATTCTAATGCGGGCTCACATGTTACCACCAACGGAGTTTCTGCTGCAATTGTTGGAATAACCACATTAGCACAAGGCCAATCAAACTTTTCAACACTCTGCCCAGCCATCAAATCGTTGTTCTTTATTGCGGATACTGTCCACTGACCGGTATGAGACGACGTCCGGTGCTGCGTATCAGATGAAACATTCTTTGGTTATTCCCCGAGGCAAAAGCTGATTTCATTACACTAGCAACTTTTTACCAACAGTCTTTGCGATCAGCTTCAAGGTTCTTCCTGAGCTGGCGTTACAGGTGTCACCGGTTGATCCAGGAAGATTGAGATCTTTTACTTATGCTTAATTAGGACTATTAAGTTCTGAGAAATCCAATGTCTTCGACGAACTTCCGGCTCGGCTCCACAAGTTGAGTTTGCAGACAAACGCACTGTACAATTGATTTGGTCTTATTGTTGATCTACTACGTCACTACATAGCGGTGCCTTTAGCTTCTGCCAAAGATTCTCCTCGTAGCATGTGCGAACAGCTTGGTCGCGCAGACGACGATGAACACATTAAGGAGACTTTTGCCGACGAGTAGAAGCGTTAAAATCACCGGAACTAGGGTGTAATCCGACTCAAAGCACGTGGTCCAACAGGGTCTGCAATTTTGTACTACGTCGTCTGTGGTCCATTTGGGTAAGCTTGTCTGTGGAATTAGAACGCCATGTCGTACCTTTGTCGAAAGCTGTTTAAATTTGGCACTAGATGAGAACAACCGATGATTCGCGCCGAAGCGCAATCGTGGCTCGCCGTTGTCTGTTCGCTGGGCAGGTAAAGCGAAACGAATTCCTAGAGAGGTCTCGGATGCGTTCAGTTTTCCAACTTGTGTCAAAATCACTCGCTAGCACTACAACACCACAGCTGCGGCTAAACTGATTGAGTTTATCGTAAAATTCTTTTGTTCTTTTGTGATTTCGGACTGCTGTTGGTTGGTGCATACGCAGAAACGATGAACAAATACCTTTTGATGTTGTTTACCTTCCGAGAACTAACTGAACCCTGAAGCTTCATTGCGCAAAAACGATCACTTCTAGTACTACTCAATCTATCACTGAGGCCTCAGCTCGCTTATTTTAGTACGATCATTACTCCACGCTGACCTAATGAGCGGGCCGCATAGTCTCCTTATGTGCACAGGAACTGAAACTCAAGGACAGATCAGGTACAGTTAGGTGGATCATACGGTTAGGATATGGAATTCGTGTCTCGGATACGGAAGGAAGATCAATTTCCAAGGAGTTCATTGTACACACGCTTGTTCACTCACATGCATCACATACTTACGTTGCGTCAGGTCCTTGAGCTACGTCACACCCACCGTCGACCAACGACCGCAGTGTTTCTTGACCTGAAAGAAGCCTTCAATTCAGTTGACCGCGAATCGCTGATGGGTTCCCTTCTTCGAAAAGGAATGCCCCAGAAGCACTATAACTTACTGAGATTACTGTACTCACATCCCTCTGGTCCAGTGAGGGTTTACAGTGAACTAAGTAGACCGTTCGTTATTAGTATCGGCGTTCGTCAAGGATACCCTCTTTCGCCGTTCCTGTTGAAGTTCGTCGTAGACGAAATACTGAAGAACGCACTAAGTGGTCTCAAAAACAGATATCGAATGAGCAGCTGGAAAAAACTGTCACTTAGGGTACGTCGATGGCATTGTCTGTCTGTTCTAATGTATGGAGGACGCGCAAAGTGTACATGATAGACTAACAAGTGCGTTTGCCACATTCGATATGTGCTTTGCACCTTCAAAGTACAAAGGTTTGGATGTCGCCTACTCCAGCTCTGAAAGTAAATGGCCAGAAATTTTCGCACTTAGGCTGTTGTGTGACCAATGACGGCAGCGCAGCAAAGGAGATAGCCGCTCGCATTTCCAAGGCTCGAGCAGCATACGCAGGACTGAAGAACCTTTGGTGTAGAAGCGACGTTGTACTAAAGTTGAAAGGTCGTTTGTATTATACTAGCATTCGTTTAGTCTTGCTTTGGGGTTGAGACCTTGAATTTGTGATTAAAAGATATCCGTCGACTAGAGGTTTTTGACTATCGGCGTTTACGCAGTTTAGCCCACGTGGGACGGAGCGAACGGGTTAGCAATCTGGAGGTAAGCCGTCGTGTATTTGGGAGTCTATCAGGGATAAATCTGCTAGTACCTCGAATTCAGATTAGTAAACTTCGCTGGCTAGGGCACGTATTGCGTATGCCCAGCTTCCGTCAACCACATCGCGTGTTACTACAGCCGCTCCGGGATGGAGAAATACACGTAGAGGTCGACAGATGACGAGCCATTAGGTAGAGTTGGTGTCACGCGCCTTCCAGGTTGGAGCCTGAAAGACTCCGCAACTGGTTGGTTGGAGACACTGAAGGATATGGTAGCGAACAGACAGAAGTGGCGTTCTTGTCAATTCTTATCAGGCCAGAATGCTTGAAGCGGTATGTAGGCACACTTGGATCGTGTACTGTGTGTCGACCATAGAGGCTCATATTCTTCCCCGTTCCTCAAAGTGAGTCCAATTCCTGTCCACCTTAAATGTTACCAATAACCTTGCAAGCACTGCGAGTTTGGCAGGGATCAGTGAAGTTCGGTTCATTGTATTTCGTTGTACGATGATGATGACAACCCACCTGCATCAGAGTCCTCAAGTTGAAGACCCTTCCCCCCCTCCCGCTAGATTCAGAGGTTAACGAAGTTTCAGAACCTGCAACTTACTCAGTGGTGAACTACTTACAGTGCAACAAGCTTTGCGGAGTGGCAAACGAGTTATCTGATGAAATGTTACGGATCGGGCAAAGGGAGGGCTGAGTATAACAGTCAGAAGTAAACACAAACCCGAGTGAAACATAATGATATAACAATATTCAATGGGAATAAACAACTACCTTTCCGTTTTCGCACCGAGCGCCCCGAACGAACGTCATTCTGCGGACCGGCATCAGAATGCAATCCAGAGCGATCAGGATTGCCCGATGATGTTGTCCAGTTAGGGCTATCTACTGGAATCGATTTCGGTGCGGCAGAATATTCGACGCACATGCGTCCTTCCAGGCTGGTGAAAAGCGAGCCGGACCCAGCAACATCAGATACGGCTAGGCTCATTACGGCCTCCGTACCAGTGTCCAAGCCACCACAGATCTAAAAGATGGAATAGGATAATTACAGATGCGACACTATCTGTACGCTCCACAAAGTCGACGCATCAAAAATTTCACTACTAGCTTCATAGATAGTATTCCCATTTCGCATAATTACTGTACTGTCTAATCCAATATTTGAAAAAGCTGGTAAATATTGTCTATATTCGATTGGAGAAAGGCTAGAAAATTAAAAAACATGTACTGTACAGAGAAAGCAGTCGAAAATATGAACTTGTTGCATGAGCAAACAATAATTTCGGATACAAAAATCATCGTGGTAGTCGTTAATCAAACAATCTATGCATTATTGGGACTGAAACTCAGTAAATTACCAATTCAGTGATTGCGCCAACAACAAACCGAACCTAAGGGGCTTCCCTTCATTCCTTTTCAAGGTGGGAGGTAAAACCCTGGTAAGTGCCCTAAGGGTTTTACAGCATCACATTTAGTCATAGAAGCGTATCACTTCATCCTGGGACAAATCGTTCCTGTTTCAACGAAGGGATTTTGCATAGACTGTGCTTATGCGGGAAAATGCATCCGAGTCCAAGCATAACACACTCGTCGAGGAACTCCATTTCGCTAAACGCACAACGAGCTACGCCCGTGCTCGCTTCCCATACGGCAGAGGATGCATATTGTCCATACGCCAGCTGGTACCACCAGGGTAAAAGTGTACGATTTAAATGTTTGGTTCATTAATAATAATACACATCATAACATTTTTTCGGATTACTCAGATTGCTCAAATATCCAACACCAACCCATAATAATGATAATAATTCGGATATGACAGAGATTATTCCTTACTCTTCGTAAATCTATATCGAAAGAGTACACTATCTTACGAAAAATTATTTAATCACCGATAAACAACCGAAAAAGCAAACGTTTTTAGTGTTCCACCCGATATTCCTAAATACTTCTAAACTATCACTTCACGCGCAAAACTTTCTAGCATACCCACTTTCTCGAATCAGCCGGGAAGATGACTTGTGTATCTACGAGATCCAAAGAGCTGCATTCAAAGGCTTTTGTTAAACCAAAGATCTGATCATGTCTGGACGATTGAACGATGGAGGTTAGACAAGTTCGTGTCCCGGTCCTTCTAATAGGGGTTTGACCCAAATCAGCGTCTCAGTCAGTGAAATATGACGGAATGAGCGATCGGAGTAAATGGGCCTCCAATTCACTCTACCCGCTGTCTTGGGGTTAGGTTCTAATCATCACTGAAGGTTTTGGTTGTGAACCTAAATAGTTTCTCTGCTTTGTGGCTGGATACCCTAGTAATACCCGTTTCTCAGATTCCAATGACAAATTCCATACTGCATCGGTCGTCGTGCAGAATAATTAGGACCGTAACGTCCATTGCATTGAGCGGGGTAGGTAGTGGCACGTGGGCTTAGTTATTTGTCTTCCATACCCAACCCTCTTCCTCTGCCCCATTTTCCGACCTGAAACAGTTCCTTTATCAACGTGGACGTCACTCACCAAAGGATGTTGCTAACAAGCACAGTGCAAAGTACCTTACCACGAAATAGATAACATATTCTGAGGCCCCGTCAACCACTGAATCCGGGGGCCTTCAAAGTGAACTCTGACACGATTGGGTCAACCAGCGTGTCTTGCTTTTGCAATGGACACGTTAGCAACGGATGTTTTCTGCCTACTGGAGACAAGAATTCAGGATCCTAGCAGTATAAACCACTTGGTTGCACCGGATATATTCTCGAGGTACTTTCTGCGCACATCAAGCGATCATCATCGTCATTGTTCAACTTAATACACTGAAGCGAACTTCACTGATCGCCGCCAAACTCATATTACATACACGGTAAGTGAGAATGCGTAAGAAGGATAGGGACTGGATTTACTTTTAGGACGAGAAAAGAGAACGAACCTCTATGGTCAACACACACAGAGTAAACAGTTTAACTGTGTATATATACTATTTCAAGCACTCCGATCTGATAAAAAGTGACAAGGATCGCCATTGCTGTCGGTTCGCAGCCATGATCTTCGGTGTCTCCAACCATATGGTCACTGGGTCTTTTGGACCCCAGCCCGGAAGACGTGAGACACTGTCATGTATCAGAACTGTACTTTATTTTATAATTCTTGTATTATTCGTTGTGTGTATTATATGCACTCATATTCACCATCTTTCCTATTGTAGCAATATCCTCCATTATTCAGTTGATTCAAGCCTACGATACGGCCCACCTCTTCTGTTGTGCTCAGAACATCTCGTTGATTGATGATCTACTACAGACGCCTACACCACTTAATCGCTCTGTGCATTTATTCATACATCGTCTTCATGTCATCTGTCGACCTCTGCGTGGATTTCTCCATCCCGGAGCGGCTGTAGTAACACGCGATGTGGTTGACGGAAGCTGGGCATACGCAATACGTGCCCTAGCCAGCGAAGTTTACTAATCTGAATTCGAGGTACTAGCAGATTTATCCCTGATAGACTCCCAAATACACGACGGCTTACCTCCAGATTGCTAACCCGTTCGCTCCGTCCCACGTGGGCTAAACTGCGTAAACGCCGATAGTCAAAAACCTCTAGTCGACGGATATCTTTTAATCACAAATTCAAGGTCTCAACTCCAAAGCAACACCAGATCTACTGATGAGCTAATCAAGTCCAACAATTAGTTGCATGCGCGTGAATGTATTCAGGTGTGCTTTTGTGCATATGAATTTAAGTCCGTAGGTATCTTTACAGATGATTAACTTTTAGCCCTCACCCTACCTACCGTGATTTTTCAGCTCTAGCGCATTTCCCGGTCTCAGCTGTTTTTCAAGTAGCGACGACGGCATTGCTCAACTCAGAGGAAGTCCAGCATTATACGGCAAACGGGTATACCAAGAAAATCCTGTTTGAAGAATAATTTGAAATAAGTTTCTGAAGCGAGGCGGGATCGTCTAGGAGTTTTGGTACCCAAGAACCTTAAAGCATGAACAAAATTCGTGTACGGGTAGTGATTGAAGTTATATCCTTCCTAACATGGTCAAATGTTTTTAATAGGCATTGATACGTGCATAGTGTTCGTTTCGCCAACATTCATACGGTGAGACTATCACATTTCCACTTACTTCGGCCATGGGCACTGGCATCTTAGGGTCGTTTCTGATATCAACTATGTCTATCCGATTAGGAACACCGGTTTTAGCGGCACCGCCACCTCCAGCCACTGCGACAGCATGACGCCCGACACACCCAGTAGCGTAAATAGGATAACCAAATCCGTGGATAAATTCGGTTGTCATCACAAAATAGATAGTTGAGACCGGTTGACGAATGCCGATTCACTTTAAAAAAAACTAGATATGCTAAATTGGCTTTCAATAAAGGCAGTCGTGAGGCAATCTGTCAGAATGGCCGCAATCGTAGAAGCGGTAGCAGCTTAACCGCATCAAATTTTGTCGTGTCAGGTGAACCGAAAACCGCGCGCAGCAGATTTCGCGCAGTTCAGTTCAGTTCAGTTCAGTTGCACAGGACGAATATGGCTCTTGCCAATCGAGCGTCCAGTTCGTTGTGTTGTCGGCGGATGGGATTGGCTTCCAACACTGCGTACGGTTGATTGAGTATTTGGGATCCTCACACTTCAACCCCGTGTCCAGAACGTTGTCTCCTTGGGGGTATGCTGAAAGGGAGGAAAACAAGCAAGGATATCTCCTCGCCTCATTCGTTAAAGACCTCAAGTACACTTGCGCTAGTATAC